GCAGGCTGGTGAGAACTGCTGCAGTTAGAGGCTCCTTCCAGACCCAGCCCCTGCCTGAGCATAGCCACCTCCCCCGTTATAAACCTATAATGTGTACCTACATCTGCTGAGCACTAAAGGCTCTCTAAATTCAAAGGCTTTGCTATTAATCAGTTCAGGGGGACAAAGAGGAGATAACAAAAATAAACTAGGAGACAGCAGAACAATTCAATGTATTTATGCCTGGCAGTATACAAAATCAGCCCTTCCACTGGGAAGAAGGGCAAGGGGAGACGAGTATGAGTGAGGAAGACATGGCCCTTCCTTCACAGTGCTCTACAAGAGTAGTTTCAATCTGGTATCATACTCATCATCTGCTTGAAAAGTTTGATTTATAAATACACAATACAAGACAAATCTAACTATGAAGATGCACTGTATTCCTCCCACTAGAAGATAAATATCACTAGGGCAACAATTTTTGTCTCCTCAGTTCATTGATGTACTCTAAGTGCCTAGAACAGTGCTTGACATGAAGTACTTAATAAATATTTGCTGGATGAAAGAATGCTATAGAAAAACTCAAATGTTAGGATCCAAGAACTGCTTCCAACTGTGGTGTCACAGAACACAGAAACCTTTCCTTGTCCCCTTGTGCTCAAAACCATAACTTTTCATTTGCCAGCTATTAAGGCCTAACATGACAGAAAGCTAAAAATAATTCAGAGATGCATAGAATTTACTGCTTAATTTAACATCTCGCCCTATCCAACTTCACCAAACCCCAGAAAATCTGTCAAGAAAAGAAGCATACAGGCCCTTATACTAGTTGGTCCTGAGTCTGTTTTCAAGTATAAAAGGCCCTCCAGATGTTTTGCTTTCTTTCTTAGAACAGGCCCTAGGATTCTGTTTTTCCCCTTTCTTAATATAAAGATGATAGGGGTGCAGTGGGGCACACCTCTAATTCCAGAGATTCAGAGGCTGAGGCAGAAGGATCCAAGTTCCAGGACAGCCTTAGGAAATCAGCAAGGCCCTCAGCAACTTAGCAAGACCCTGTCTCAAAATAAAAAGGGCTGGGGATGTGGCTCAGTAGTTAAGCACCCCTGGGTTCAATCCCTGGTACCAAAAAGAAAATAGTGATGATAACAGTAACATCTCAATTACTCTCTACAATGTCACAGGCATTTTTCATTTATTAATCTAGTTTTCAAAACAACTTTCAAAACTGGTATCATCATCATCATCATTTTATAGGATGACTGGCACAAGGGTCTATTCACAGAATCTTTCTTCTTCCCAAAAGTAAATCTGGACATGTTAAAACAAGAGAACATTCAACATAGATTTATAAATGCCTGGCAGTATACAAAAATCACAGTACCTTTCCAAGTTTTTAGTGTGGGGGCTGGGGGGTGTAGCTCAGTGGTAGAGCACTCAGGCAGCTCAAGGCCCTGGGCTCCATCCTCAGCTCCGCAACATAAAAAAATAAAAAATTTCTTGGTGTGAGAATCACTAGCCTCCAATTTACTGTTTCTCTTGTGAAACAATAAGTGGGAGCTTTACAGTTTTACTGTTTCTCCTTCCCCAATACCTCCCCTCGTATTCCCCCAGGACACAAAACAAAATATGGTACAGGGGAAACAATGTGTGTCCTCACTAAGTGAGGAATTGCAGCTCTGAGGAAATCCAGGCACACCAGTGACCCCAAGGGAATGGCTGCACCAGGGCATTGCTTCCCAGGGTCAGCACAGGGTTTCTTCCCTTCAATGAACAATCAGAGCTTCTAGTTTTCACCTTCCCTTTCCAAATGTCTGAACAACTCCTCAGCTCCAAAACAACATTCCCTGTCATTTTCTCTCCTCCCAAATGCCCTTCCACCAAAACTTGTTCTTCATCATGATAGCCTTATTTCTGTTATCAGCAGTACTATTTTTCCAAAAGTTTGTCTGAGGCCCATACTTGTGTCAGTTCCTAAGATCACTGTCAAGTGTTTTTGAATCTTCTGCTCTTCATTACAATCATCACATTTTGCCTACACTGCTGTAACTAGACTCCATGGAATTCCTACCTAAAAATTATATATTAAAAAAAAAATCACATACAAAATCTTCAGTCTGACACTTGAGGAGCTCCAGGATCTGCATCCCTCTCTTGACCACCCAGGTCCCTAAACGCACAATCATGGACTCTCCCTTCCAACCTCCACAGCTCTGCTGGGGCAGTGTCCTAGTGTAGAACTACAATTCTTCTCCCATCCTCTTCCAATCACCAGCCATCTTTCAAATGGCCACATCCTCAACAAAAGGAAACGCTGAGGCATCTCATTTACTGAAGGCAGACTGTCTACTGCTTTACAAACTCTTCCACTTCCCAGACACTGGACCAGGAGTTACGGAAAATGGGTTTACCCAAAGTCATCTAAGTTAAAAATCTATAGCAGCCCAAAAGCATCCTGTATTTTTTAAATGAAATATGAAAGGGGCAGGCTTTAGATAGTCAGGATACCTAAGTTCAACTTCCAGCTCTTCCACCAACTACCTATATGAGCTCAGCAAGTTATGTATCTGAGATGCCTTAGTTTCCTCATATAAAAAAAGGGATAATCCTAATATCTACCACAGTGAAGACTGTGAGAAATATGCTGAATAACACAAAGTACTAAGAAATGTACTTGGCCAAAAGCAAACAATCTTATTATTCTGTTGTTACTTATATGCTGACATATAAACTTTGACAATATCAGTCTTATGCTCTCATTGTTCGCAAATCAATGCAATGTAAAAACTTACATATGCTCAATAAATATCTGCACAATATATGATTTTTTACCCATGATTCACCACCATGCTTTTTTAAAAGGAATTCACTTTTCTACTAATTCTGTTTCCTCTTCTGAGAAACTAACAATGCTTACCAACTTTCTTCCCCTTTCTATGTCATGTGAAACTACCATATGCAATGCCATATGGCAGTAACATGTCAAAGAGTGCAAAACACTGTTCTTATTCAAACTCATTTTGTCTTCTGCTAAAAATTATTAATTCAGAGATCTTTAAGTGCCCCAAATCACACCTTTTATTTAAAAGCCAACCATTTTTAGGTATACCAACATGAAGTAAGCATACTAAATATTTGACTAAGCCACTTCATTTTATAAAAATTTATGGCAGGAACCACAAAACATAAAATGCCTTGCTATCCAACTCAACTGAGATATAAACCTCTCCCTTCAGTCTTAAGTTCTACCCTCACTTTACTAAAATCTGTGTCTGAAAAACTGATATGTTACTCTGGGATATATAGTAGAAAACATCAAGGGAAGAGAGCTGAATGTTAGCATCAATTCAGGCCCCACTAAAATGCTGAGAGAAATAACAAGGACAAATAAGAACCTGACTTGAAGCCTTCAGAATGAAATTTCCCAAGCCAAAGTTTTACCCATCTGATTTACATCATACATGGAGACAAGACACCAAACTAGCTAACTTCAGAGAAAAAGGTTTAAAATATATTTAAATATTTTATATATATATATATATATATATATATATATATATATATATATTTTATATATATATAAAATACACACACGACAGTTGTTGTTCCTTACATAGAGAAATAACTGTACTTCTATCCAAAAAAAAAAAAACTTAGAAGCATAACTATGCAACAGACACATTTTATTTCATTTAATCCTCACAACAACTCTTTCCTTGTTTATTGATGTCACAGAATTAGTAAGTGGTAGAGCTGTACCCTGCCTGACTCACAAATTGTAAATCCTTTATTATGAAATATTTGTTTTTGCCATAATATGATAATATGCTTTATATTTACACCTTCATCTTGACACAAGCGTTTTTTTAAAAGTCTGAAACAAAAGCTTCATTAACTAATATTTACTCTTACTCCCTAAAATGTCCTCTGGCAGTTGGCAGTTTTTCTTTTTCTTTTTTTTTTTAGTGCCCACATTAATGCACTAAGTTGACTCCAAAATCCATTAATAAATCCCTACTGACCAGAATTCAGCGCTGCACACTTAACTTCTGCTTAAGCTATCAAAATCCAGTTGCGTTACTTTGAAAAGGCGCTATCTCCTCAGCCCATTAAAACCTGTTCTTAAAACAGATAAGATCCTGAAAGCCCTTCCTTAAATTTTGAATCGACCTGCTTCTCTTTGGAGGCACACCACCTTACTCATTTGCACTGAATCAAAAAAAAAAAAAAAATGCGGATGTTCCTCTTGGAGAACAACACAGCACTGTTGAAAAGGAATGCATTAGCTTCACTGTTCCTGCTACATCACTGACGAAAGGGACAGCCAGGCAGGTTTGGGGCAACCATAGGATTTTAGCAGCTGCCCACGGTGCTGAAACTGAGGATGACACCATAGTTTTGGAAATGTACCACTGCTAGACGAGGACAAAATAGAGGAATCTACCAAAAGCAGCCAGAGAACATGTCGCGTCAGCTCCCAAAGTTGCACGACTGCCTCTGCTACACCTCGTCCGGCTGCCCGTCAGGGGCAGAGCTCTCGCCTGAGCAGGTCAACTCAGCAGCGTCCTAGCGGCCGTGCAGCCTGGCCCCAGCGGGGTCACGTCCGGCCCGCAGGCTGGGCACTTAAGGAAGGAACAGGGGGGTGAGTGAGAAAGGAAGGAAGTGACTGCCTTTTTTCTTTTTTAATTTTTTTCCAAAGACCAAAGAGGCCTCGCAACTAAAGTCCGGAGATTCGCCGAGGACTTTGCGGCAAAGTGCTGGACCAGAGACGCTTCCGAGCACGGGCCAGGCTCTGCCTCCCCCGAAGGCCACCTGAAAACCTCGGCGGACGCCGACACTCCGGACGCCGGCGGGGTACGGCTCCGAGGGCGTGGCGCGGCTGCTCCGCTGCAAAGAGCCGGTGCCTCCGCGGCCGGCCGCGAGCGGCGGCGCAGACCCAGCCGCCGCCGCCGAGCCCGCGCGGGGCGCGACCCGCCAGGCCCTGGGGACAGCGCCGCGCGGGGCCCCGAGCTCCACGGTCTTACCTGGAAGCCGGGCCGCGGGACAGCTCGCGGGCAGCGTCGCTGAGGGAGAAGTCCTACCCAGACTTCATAACTGAACGCCGCCCGGTCCCTCAGCCCCGCGGCGGCGCGGGCACGGCAACACCCGAGGCGGAAGTCCCGCCCCGCGTGCCCCATTGGCCCGCGCCCGGGGACGTGGAGCCGCCATTGGGCAGCAGCGCTGCCTATTGAGGCTCCTCCCCACCCTCGCGCCGCCGAGTCGCGCTGCCAGTCCCGGCCACGCTGGGAGGATGCCCAGTTCGCGAGTCTCGTTCTCCGCCGCGTGATCGCCGTCCCTGGAAGGGAAGGCAGGGGAGAGCAGGGTGCGGTGGCCTTCTGGGCAACCCGAGTGCAGCTTCAGGAGTCGCTCCTGACCGCGGGGTGCTGGCCTGCAGGGGACCGGCCGCGGTGGGCGGGCCTGGCCGCTCCCGCTGACGGACCGCGAGGCTGACCTGGTCTGGAGCCGACCCGCCTTCCCTGCGGCCAGGGAGGCCAGGGCGAGGTCGCGTCCCTGAACCGCGCCCGGGCCGGGGGCGGACGGGCGAGACCCAGGGCCTGCTGGTAGGGGCGACCCGCCAGTTCTAGCGCTAGCCCGCGGCCTGGCCCCAAGCCGCGCTGACCTCGGCATCCGGTAGCCACGCGCCGTCGAGCCCTGTGACCCGGCTGCCGCTGGGTCCGCCGTTCCGAACCTGGCGGCCTCTTGCTGAGCCGGAAGGCCCGGCCGGCTGCTTTGGGGTGAGCCTCGGCGGGTCCAGGCTGCACTGTTAGTGCGCGGGTGCTGCATCCGCTTGGCCTCGGAGCACTCAGGCGCCTTCAGCAGGCTCCGCAGACCCTCAGCACGGGGGGTTTAAAAGGAGACAAGGGTGGAGGTCAGTGCATACCACTGGATGCAACTGACCGCTTCAGGAGGCCTGGGAAGGTAGGACACTGGAATCGGGAAAGCCCAGCTGTTCTCTAAAATTGCAAAATAAAGACCACCAAAATGACTTTGATCTTCTGTGTCTCCTATGTATCCTTAAACCTTCATCGATTTAAGAAGATAATCAACATCTAAATTTATGTAATTCTGTCTTTAAGAAAGACGTAAATAAAAGTCAGCATCAGAAATATTACTGCGAAAGCTACTGTAATTAGTATAAAATGCCTAAAATATCTCCAAAGCATTTTTTCATTAAATCATCTAAAATTGGATTCTATATTAAATCACAGATTTCTTGCATGACATCAAAAAACTGAAAAACAGTTAACAGGTTAAAAAGCACAGAGAAGAGCTCTGTTAATTTCTTAGACACCTTGAGTACAGAACGTTTTATTGTGGCTTCAATCTTTTCTTCAAATTATAATTGCATAGTTGTTTCAGTTGTAAACAAGATCCTGTTTTGTTTGTATGTTTGTACTGCATTTAGGCAGACTTAATTTTGATATACCTTGTAGAAACAGATATTCTCCCATTTGTGTTGAGTGGAAGCAGATTGGAAGAAGATAGACTGGGAAAATGTACTAATTTTTTAAAATGTGGATGAGGCAATATGATTGACCTAAATGTGGACTAGGCAGTTAAGATTGGCATAGATTTTGATTATGGCTTTCAAAACATGAAGGGTTGATAGGGCACATGATTCAAACACACCATTAATTATCTCCTTATGAAAACAAATAAAAGGAAGTGAGCTTTCAAGCTTTGTGACTGACAGTCTTTTGTTAGTTTGTTTTTGGCAATGCTGGGTTGAACCCAGGGCCTCCCATCAGCTAGACAAATACTCAAGCACTGAATTATACCTTCCACCCCAACAGTCTGTGTTTTCTTGTCTCTTCCTATAAAGTACAGATAGCACATAAACAGTTGTAGAACTGCCTACTTTCAAAATATTGTAAGATAGCAACCACACACACAAAAAAACTAAATATCAATTACTTGTCTAAAATAACTTAGAAGTATTAAACCCCGCCGCAAAGAAAAGACAACAGACTCCAATTTTAAATCAAATTAAAGTAAGCTTGTATTTGTGTACACAAAAGCTGGCCAGTGACTGTCTCACCTGAAATCCCAGGCCAGAGAACAGCACCCATCTCTCAGGAACAAGGTTTTATAGCACAAAAAGTTGCAAAGGGGAGTGTTTTGAGAACTTACAGATAACAGGATTTTGACAAGCACAATATAAAGGCTTATAGTAGGTTAATGATCTACATGGCTTAACATTTAAAGGTAGGGAATAAATTTAGATCCCAACATCAGAATATATGAGGCACCACTGAGGTTTCAGAGAGGGTTGTTATCTGCTCAGGGGGAGCCAGGCATGGGTGAGTTCAAGGCACGGGCAGGAATTCCAAACAAGTTTAGAAATCGCAGTAATTTATAGTAGAACAGAAATTAACTTTTCATGACTTTGTGATGAGGTGGATCCCAATCTTAAAATGGATTTAGACTGGGTTCATCAAGAAGTAGTTTCCCCTAAATACTGAAAAGAATGTGGACAGTCTTTTTAAGTTCTGAGAACAATCAAAAACATTAAATGGTTAAACAAAAAATAAAATTATTGCAGTGATAGTGGGGACAGTGATGTCCTCTCAGGGGATACCACATCCACACACATTCACATGGGTGCCATGCTTCCGCCTTCCAGGTCAGCTCCTGCCCCATCAGCATCTCCCAGGTAGTCAAGCAGACAGATTGGATCTCACTGTATCTGGTGGGTGCTGTTCCTGCTGCTCAATTGATTTTTGTCCCAGAGGTACTGACTACAGACTGGCTATTTTCTGTACCTATGGCCTCTGAAACCTACTAGGAGGTATTCTTTGCAAAAACTGTGAAGTGATTTCTGGGTTATTGAATTTGAAAGGGATCTTTGTAGTACCTCCCATGTGCTGGGGAAGGTGCTGAACACGGGTTGTAAGAAGACTTCTTTGGTTTAGGGAAAATGGTTGGGCTCAGTCCTACACTGCTTACTCAGGGAGGAAGAGTGAACTAGGAAGGAGAGTTCAATGCATAAAATTAAATATTGCCCCAATAGTTTTAAAGGTAAGGGCTAAGGAATTTAGAGAAAGGGTAGCTGCATGAAATAATTGAGAAAGGTTGCCTGGGAAAAAACAGTCTTGATACTGGGTGAGAAGAGCAGATGAAACGTAACAACAAAAGCTCAGAGCAGCTGAGTGATCCAGGCATGAGGTCAGGGCACAGGCATGCAGCCAAATGAGGGATTGAGGGCTGAGGGCAGAGCACTGACAGGACAGTGTGGGGTTGGGCCTCCCTGCCTGACCAGGCTCTTCTTGGTTTGGTGGACTTTAGAAAGACAGTGAAGATCTCACTTGGTAGTTAAGAACACAGCAGCTAATTTGAGACAAGTCTAGTCACCCCACTGTGGGTAAGGTAGGAAATCTGGATGACAGATTGCCTCAGAAAGACTGGAGTGAAGTAAATGCGGACGTTCTGTCCAGATAAGGGAAGGACAGTCATTAGGTCCCTATCTTCACAGGAGACTTCTCCATCAAGTCATGCCTAAGAAATGGCAGGGATACAGTGAGGAACAAAATAGTCTCCTCATCCTGATGGAACCTCTCAGGGACACCACATTCACACACAATCACAGGCCCTAATGGCACTGTTGCCACCACAAGTCTTAGCGAGGCTGCCCAGAGTGAGGTGTGAGGGCACTAAGGCACAGGCCAGGCAGGAATGCTGGACGGACCTTTCCTGCAGAGGGAACCATGTGGGAAGGCCCTCCAGCAGGAAGCTCCTAGATGAGCTAACACATGAAGCACATTTGAAGCTCATGGACTGTGTGGGTTGGGATTTGACTGTGGTCACCCTGGGAAACAACAGACACAGTTGTGCATGTTTTATGTGTCTTACGGCTCATTAAATTCTTAAACAACACACAAAAAAAATATTACTATGATAAGGAGTAGAGTCCAAATGTGTTTGAAGTACACAAATTTGAGACATAGAGTCCATATGTGTTTGAAGTTCACAAATTTGAGAAAGTACCAAATAGAACTTCTAAAAATGGCTTCAGGAAATTTTCACCTAAAGATTAGAAAAGACTCCCATTTCTTGCCAAGTTCCAAATGAATGGACAGATTCATTTTTTTAGGATGTTAAGTGAAAAGTTCAGAACAATGAAATAAGTTTGTTTTCAACAAAGTTTATCTTCGAGGAGTTGAGAAATATCAAACAAAGTTTGTTAAAGTTTGTTAAAAATTAAAAAACTAAATAAACTCATAGTTTTACATGACATGAGATGATTCCCTCACATCTAAGGTGACTGACATAGGAGTTCAACCTTTTCTTTCTTATTTGTGGTATGGAGAGGCAGTCTTCCTTGATTTGCTGACAAGAATTTTCTAAAATAAGCAGACATAAATTCAGGTGACATGGGCTGGGGATGTGGCTCAAGCGGTAGCGCGCTCACCTGGCATGTGTGCGGCCCGGGTTCGATCCTCAGCACCACATACAAACAAAAATGTTGTGTCCACCGAAAACTAAAAAAAATAAATAAATAAATATTAAAAAATTCTCTCTCTCAAAAACAGTTTTAAAAAAATTCAGGTGACACAATGTAACGTAAGGAGTGGAGAACTCATAGGAAGGTGAACTGATAAAATCATTTGGGGAAACAGCTCAGCTTTGCATAGAAAAGCTGAAAGGAAAACTTTCTATACACAGCAAGTCACTCCAGGATAGATACCCTAAGGAAGTACAAAACAAATTCAACTGTAGACACATACTTAAATATAAAGACAATAAAAAAAAGAAAGTCTTAAACAGAAAGAAAAAAATAAAATATAACAGAATGACAGTTGGTTTATTAATAACAAAAAAGAAACTAGAATTCAATGAAATCATATCTTAAAATACTAAAATAAAAATGATTGCAATTGTCAATTTAGAATTGTATGCCTAGTTAAACATTTAAAAGTGAGGGCAAAATAAAGATTTTCAGAGGAAATCAGCATTTACCACTAACAGACTTGTACTGAAAGAATTTACAAAGGCTGTCTTCAAGAAAATGAAAGTCAAACCCAGAAGGAAAAGAGTGGGGTGGAGGGAGTGAGATACAAAAAAAGTATAGAGAGCATAGAAACAGTACAATTTCCA